GTGTTGAGCACCGCCCTTCTAAATTACTAGGAAGATAGAGAAGAAGTGAACTTTGAGAAATTCTAAGAGAAGAGTTACTATGGTATTTTCAAAGAAAAGTTGAGGACTTTATTAAAGAAGTGATTTTGAGAAATATCAAAGAGAAAAGAATTTTGGTGGAGTGTGTCATTTTTATATAGTATTATATGAAAAACTATTTTTCGCCAAACCTGATTATTTTACGGGGTTGGGTAGTACTTACTTAGCTCTAAAGCTAATTTTTGTTTTCTTTCCTTTGTTTTGTTTTCTGCACTTTATTTGTGCAGGTGATGATACTTATGTTGACTGATGATTGCTTGATTCCCGAGAGCGCTTTAGAGATGCCTTAGTCAAACCTAGTCAAGAATTATAATTTAATTATGTTAAACACTTGTTTTACTTTGTTTAGTTTTGTGATTGCCTGTGCATTCGGTTAAGAGATGACCGGATGTGGCGGTAACACCCATTTCCCAATTAGTGTTATTTCCGCTGCAAAACTTTTTATCTGTTTTGAAAGAATAAATCAAGTTTATTATCAATAAATCTATTATTTCAAGTATTATTTTGGGAGGGAAAATGGGGGTGTTACACGGCCTGACAAGAAGACCACTCTCTCTCTCTCTCTCTCTCTCTCTCTCTCTCTATATATATATATATATATATATATATATATATATATATATATATATATATATATATATAGTTTTTATCTTAATTTACAACTTCATTTATTTATATTTGTGGCTAAACCACTAAAGTTAGAGTACTTACATCGCTTATAAAATTAGAAAAATTTAAAAGTAAGGTAATGTTCGACGAATCTAGACGGTCTAGGCGGCCGATTAATTCACCTAGACGACAAACCAATTAGTCGGAGCGCCTAGAAGAAAATTGGGGCGCCCGGCCACCGCCTAGTGCCTAGGCGGGGACTAGTCGGATGCCTAGAACAATTTTTAGAATAGAGACAAAACCTAAAGGAATTGCTTTAATTTCTAAAGCAATTGATGGATTGAGAAAGACTAACAACGCCTGTTCCGAATTATGTACTGCTTCAGTTCGTGTATAGTCATTTCCCCACATCCTTTGCAAAGGATGATTTATCCTTCGTGGTGCTGTATAAATAAATCCTCCCTCAATTCGAGTGGGTTCATCGGTTTGTCTTTCAAATGGGCAAATCGTTCCCCTTGTGCACATGATTAGGCGTGTTCCGATTTTAGTATTGATCAAATGACGTTCTGACCTATCCACTAATATATGAATATGAAAAAATATTTTTAAAATCATGTTACAGCACAGACACACACTCGTATATAATTAGGTTGAAATGAGAAAATGATCTTAGGAGAGGAATAAGAATGATTGTATTTTGTAAAATTGAATGTGCATTTGTTGAAATTGAAATGTGCATTAGATGAAATCAAAATCTGCAGCACAAAAGGTACGACACAATATCATTATGTGAAGCTGATTGTGCATTAAGTGAAACTGAAATATGTATTAGGTGAAACTGAAATGTGCAGATTAAAAGCTACGATGTGGTGGCATTTGTGTGCACATTTCAATTTCCTAAAAATGCACATTTGAGTTTTTTCTTTTATTCTGCACATTTCTAATTTTCTATTCACCTAGTGCACATTTCAGTTTCACCAAATGCGCAATTCAGATTCACATAATACAATTCAACAGTCTGAATTCATTATCATTTTTGTCTTGGGAGTTCTTTCTCACTAGAGATCAGGGACTATAGTAAGCGAGAGTTCTGAAAGTAGTCAATCATTAATAGGCATAGGCTTACCTAAATCCGGACCAACAACCACATCATTTGGATTGAAATCCACACATGTATGTTTGTTCTTATTGTTTTTCTCATTAGAGTCCAGCGGTCGGACTTTTTGGAAGACACGTTGCCGCTAGGTATTAGCAATTCATCCATCAATAATCTATTAAATCACGGAGTATTGCGCCATACATTGAATAATTTAACATGCCAGTTGACCATGAAATTTTCAAAATCCCCCAAAAATTGCCTCTTTCTTATTTCTCTATTTTCCCCTATTCTTGGTCATGTTCTGCATCTCACCCAAGTCACAATGAACATGGCATTTGTATCCTCTGCTAGAGCTGCCAAGAGGTATGAAAAAGGTGTGCCCACGGGCTACAATAGTACAATTATGACAAAACCGTACAAGAGGCTGCCTACATGAAGATGATGTTGCCTCTACTGTCAAGGTGATTGTATTGCACACCGGGAAGGGCTTCATTGGTTGGTACTAGTCCATCAGAGAAGTTGTTGAGTCTAGGGAGTTTGATGAGCTCGCCACAAAACTAGTGGGGACAATGCCTTTTCCTGCCTATTTGCCTTCTTTGGGGTTCACCAGATCACACTCGATCTCAGATGCATGTTACACATTCACCCCTTCGTTAAAAGCCAATTTCAACATGACTTATTTGTATGAAGAACAAAATGAATATAATTGATTTTAACAGAATGCAACTAAATGAAAAATAGCATAACATGGCTGAGTATGACAGACCACAACAAATCAATATGAGACTGATACCAAATATCATTGTCATTTCAGTTCATAAAATTCATTATATACGGAGTATCATACTGTCCAAGATAGAGATCAACTATGCTTACATTTTAATTACTTCTATGTGTCTTTGAGGTGCAAGAAAATGTTTTATAGTTTGGTTTGAATTTTATCCGGTCAGAAGCATTGAGATTCTCATGAGTGTATTTATCATCAAAGCATTCATTAGTTAGTGAAATAATTTGCTCAATTTGTGAAGTTCTTTTCTATATCTGACGAGTGAGTAAGCCGACGTTCGGCTTTGGAGTAAAATACTTCGTACAAAGGAGGCCGTGAATTTGAAACTGATAATAAAATTTGGGTCATTTTTTTATGTACACCTTCTAGTTAACACCTTTTGTACACCCTTTTGTTTACGAGGATATTTCCCGATGAATTGTATTTTTTTTGTTACAAATTGTCTGTGTGCACCAACAAAAATAAGATATGTCCACCTAATTTTTTCCATAAAATGTAGGATCTGTTGTGAAATGAAGAAGATAAAGACTAAATTGAGAGATAGATATAATAAGATCTAAATTATACTTCTTCTTAATATAAATATTTTCTGAATTTCTTAATTTCTGAATTACATTTACAAATGATTGAGCACCCTATTTATACTAGTTGGCTAGGAGATAATCATCAAAGAATGATTCTACATAATTTGCTGGCAACATTAAACCTAACCATCTATAGGATCATTTTATTTTAGGGTTATTTAGACTTTGCACCCTGTTTTATACCCCTAATTAGTCTGTGCACCCTAATTTTAAAATCCTTAGCCTTTACACCCTAAGTTAACCGGGTCTGTTAGTTAGCATTCAAAAAAAAGTAAATGCCATTAATACCCTCCTGGCTGCAGCTTCACAGAATACGAATTTCCCAGTTCAGCTCTCATTTTTTCTCCCATCTGCTCCTTTATAAACACTGAAGCCATGCTACAAAAGTGAAACTCAAATGCAAAAGCTAAATAACCCAAACTGATGCACACTAAGCACACAAAAGCCATGCTAAAAACCCCAAACTGAAATAACAGTAAGCACAGGAAAACCATGCTAAATAACCCAAACTGAAATGCACACTAAGCACACAAAACCTAGGCTAAATAACCCAAACTGACTGAAACACAAAACCCAGAACACAAATCTCAGAACATAAAGCTCAGAACACAAAGAAAACCCAGAAAAATCAGAACATAAAGCTCAAAACCCAGGCCTATTTAAAAAATAGAAAAAACATAAAGCAAAAAGATAACAACAAAATAAAAAACTAAGAAAGGAAAAACCGAGCATAAATGTAACCAACAACACAAATTAAAGTAGTGAACAACCCATTGATTCTTCTGTGGAGTGGTCCTGTAATGTTGTTGAATACTTACTAGTCAAAGTTCAATAAATATATACATCCAACCATAAATGACTCATAAATGCTCACCCAACAATATGTAACCACCCTTCCACATTACTCCCTATAAAATAACCATCCTTCTGAGGACTAAATATCTATGTATTGAATCGAAATAAGCATATGGCTGCACATGAAGGAGGAACAGGCTGGTGTAAGGTATGACTTGTAAAATTTATTCCTTCTTGCTAATAAGTATAACATATTCTCTATTGTTTAGTGTTTTCATTGTGGAGAACAAGGTCATTGGGCGAAGTCATGCACCTATAAACAAATACCTTGTATAGAGGGCTGCCCAAACAACATGGAGCTATACACATCTCAACAACCAAGAAGTAATGGCTGCAGATTCCTAAGATGCAAAGGTCAGCCCCAATGTCAAGCATTCAAATGGGTAGACTCACCAAAACAGAAAGAAATAACAACATATGTACCAAACAAGCAAACACCATGAAGAGGTGAAGCAACAACAACCATTCCAATGCAAAATCATAATGTTAAAGTGACTGTAGAACAGGATGGGGGGAAAGTAACATACGAAGGCCAAGTATGTGATGTAATTCAGCTTATGAGTAACAAACTCATTATATAATAATGTAGTTTTGGTCTACATACATTACATTGAGCAAAAAACTGCAAGTGCAATGTGTTAATACTTTGTTGTTATCTAATTCTAGCAAGTATAGTTAGCTCTAGTACTTATACAAAAAGAGTGAGCTTCATGTCTAGAATTTACAAGGAGCAAAAAACCCAGTTAGATCACATATATTGCAACTGTGCAGTGAGCAAAACTGGTTGCAGCAACAACTAGTTGTGGTAAACACTAGTTGTGTCAACAACTCTTCAAAAATAAATATTCATATTTCTACTTACTGGTGGTAGGCAGTAGTACTACCACCTATTCTTCCAGCACCACCCCTTGCTCCAACCCTAGCACCAGCCCTTGAACCACCCCTAGTAGCACCCCTTGAACCACCCCTAGCTCCACCCCTTGCAGCACCACTTGAACCACCTCTTGCAGCACCCCTTGAACCACCTCTTGCAGCACCCCTTGAACCACCTCTTGCAGCACCCCTTGAACCACCTCTTGAACCACCCATTGAACCACCCCTTGAACCACCCCTTGCACCACCCCTTGCAGCACCCCTCCCAGTAGTAGCACCTCTCCCACCACCTCTAGCAACTGGCCCTCCTTGGCATGACCTCTTGTTGTGCTCAAAAGATAGACACTTAGTACACTTCTTCTGACTAATTGATTGTGTCTCAGTCTCATCATGGCCCTTTATTCTATTGTTTTTAGGTCTCCCGGGGGCTCTTGAAAGCTTAGGTGGCAATAGAACCTCATTTCCCTGCACAGTTTTTAAAATAATGGTTACTAATGATTCTGGAATGTATCAATGTATATATTGGTTTTAGATTTGTGGTCATACTACCTCAGACCAATCACTTTCATGTGATATTGGTTTAATGTTTGTTTGATAGCATGCTTTGTAGGCCTTCACACACAGTAATGGACTACAAAATCTATAAGCAGCAAGATGAAGTTAAATACATAACAATCTTTGAGTTTCAATTAAAAAGTTAAACAAAAAAGTAAAGTAAAGGTAATAGGAACATACTGAGGTAGTGGCAGTCTCAAATGGCTGATCAAATGCACTGCATGTACACATGGTATGCCTGTGACCTGCCACTCACAACACTCACACTCTTGTTTGTTTAAGTTAATAATCCAGTGCTTCCCGGTAAATTTTCTCACACTGAAAGTCCCTTCACCTGAAGGGCAAGTCACATAATCATTTTGCTTCTCCTTATAAGCTGCCATTATTGCACCAACCCTAGGTACCACATCATTCTCATTCCAAGTACTAGCCTGAAGTTTCCTATCATACACAATCTTCATTAACAGGAATGATATACCTATTATCATTGAACACACCGGTTTATCCCTTTGGCTTAATATGAAACTGTTATAGCTCTCTGTGAAGTTATTTGTCAGGTGGTCACTCTTACATGTTGTATCAAAATGTGCCCTTGACCATAACTCTGGACCAATCTCCAATAAATAGTCCTTCATACCAACTGCTGCCTCATCCAATCTCTGAAGACTTCTTTCAAAGTGGACCTTTTTATATGCTGAAGCAGTAGCCCAGGCCAGTTCCTTTATGTGGTCCCCTTTCCACCACTTACTCATATTCTTGAAGATGTGTCTAAAGCAGCTTCTAGGATTGCAGCCTCCCAAATGTGTCTGAACACTACTTATGATTGCTTGAGCCCTATTAGATGTGACTGTAAGTGGCAAAGGATGTTTCTTCAGCTCCGGAGCTATTAATGCTAGAAACCTGTCCCAGTTCTCACCATCTTCTTTTCTACAAATGAAGACTGCTAGCGGAAAGAGCCCATTATTCCCATCCATGCTAATAGCTGCTAGACAGACTCCTCTATATTTCCTCTTTAGAAAGCAACCATCCAACCCTACTAGTGGCCTGCACCCAGTTCTCCACCCTTCCAAACTACACCTAAAAGCAACACATAAATACTGAAATTTATTTTCAGAGTCATACTTGCACTCAACCAAACTACCAGGATTGGAAGCTAGAATCTGTCTGCACAATTCAGGAACTTGAGTATAACTTTTCTCATAATTTCCATGGAGCTCTTCAAGTGCCATCAGCCTAGCATTCCAAGCTTGCCAGTATGAAATGTTTAAAGTCCACCTACTCCAAGCTATAGCAATGATATCTTGGGGTGTGTAACTCTTATGGTGCAGCCTCATGTCCTGAGCCAGCATACTAGCAATCCATCTAACATTTGCTCCTCTATTCTTGTTCCTGCCATCATTCTCACAGGTATGTTCTTCTTGGAGAGATTTCAGTTCAGTCGTGTGCCCATCATTTTTTCTAATAACATAACACCTCCAAGGGCATCTTTCCCCTTTACACCTCTGTAACACCGCCCCCAAGTATTTGTACTTTATCAAATAGTGTATTGAACCCTGAGAAATGAATAAACGCATTCTACGCGATTGTAAAATTTTCATCATTTCTTTTACGTGAATAGTAAAATTCGCGTGGGGCCTACACCGGAAGTGGGGGCCGCCCGATATTATCGGGGCCACATATTATATTCGTTTGGGTCAAGATAATATGTGTACAATGGTGGATATCCTTGTTGGGCCATAGGAATCATGTGAGTAACCAGTCGGGCATAAAAAGCCCATTTATCGGTACCGAGGTAATATCTGATAAAAAGCCATAATAAATTATGGACACCACCAAATTAAAAGTTGGGGAAAAAGCATTCATTCTTATAGCCAATAATAATTGGAAGAATGATACATATTTCATTTGACCCGATAAAATGAAATATAGTTAAAACAGTCCGGAAAATACAACTTTCGGGACCGAGTGTACACTCGGGGACACAAAGGGATGACCACCCATCACAATGGGTGCCACCCCACGTTTTTAATCTCGAAATTGGGAAGGGGAGCCGCACAATAAGTGAGGAAGGGAATCATGAGCTAATTGGAAGCCAAAACTAATAAAATGCATGGGACCCTCCCATGTTTTATTTGAGGGAAATGCCAAAAAGGCATTCTCCATCAACAACCAAGCACCCCATACGTATCACACAGCAACAAGGGTGAGAGAAACTCTGCAAACCATCACCTTCTACATCCATTTTCGCACCAAGAGCAAGGGAGGAAGAAGGAAGGAAATAGAAGGAGAGAAAGGAGAGAAATAGGAGGAAAACTTGGGGTTAATAAGGTAATGACTTCATTAATCTCATTTCTTCTCTTCAATCATATTTCATACTCCTAGGATGTTTCTACACATGTAAAAGTGTAGGATGGGAGTTGAAGGGTCGGTTTATACCCAAAATGAACTTTGAGGGCAAAGTTGATGGGTTCACCGGAAAATAACCTTTTAGAGGTTATTTGTATTGATAGGGGTTTTATGATGATAAAACCTTGTTATTAACTTGTATAAGGTATTTCAAGAACCTTCACGGAGTTGAAAGGGGTCTCCAGAGTTCGTTGAAGTTCACAGGAGTTTCACCGGGGCTAAACCGGGAAGGCTAGAACTTCATAAGCTTCAATAAGGTGAGAAGACGGCTATATGCTTTATAACTTTTGATTGAGGCATGAGATTACCTAAAGTAATCAAGTATATGTTTTATGGAATGATTAAAGTTAATCAAGTATTGGCTTATGCCATGGTTGTATATAAAACATAGTTGAAAAGCATGTTTTGTATGTTTGATGATTAAAAATGTGATAACTTATTATGTACAATGCTCCAGGGATCCAAAATGGTATTTTTGGATCAAGGACGTCAAGGAGTACCTGCGTATAAAATTTCGCGTTAATCGGACTTCGTTTGGGCGGTCAAACGGGCGTTGACCGCCGAGGCAAGGGTGATACCCGACCGGGTATGGGTCCATACCCGACCGGGTATTGATTAAAAATGGCTCCAGAAGCCACTGTCTTACTAGACCCGACCGGGTGGGGCTATAGACCCGACCGGGTCTCAAGTAAAATCAGTTCCAGGGGCTTCTGCCCCGACCTACCCGACCGGGTGAGGTTGGATACCCGACCGGGTATTGGACTAGGCCCAAAACAGGCAGTTTTGAGCAGGTTAACGTGGGTCGTTCAAGTGGGACCCGCCCACGTTGGTTACTAGGGATTATTATATGACTATAGGACTAGGTATTGTCCATAGTTAAGTGAATGAAAGGTTAGCCATATCCAGGTTAGGGTTTGGTTAGAAATAAGGTTGAGGTTGAGTATCCTCGGGACGGTAAACGATCCTAAAACTCGGTGAGGTTGAGTATCCTCAGGATGGTAAACAATCCTAAAACTCGGTTGAGGTTGAGTATCCTCGGGACGGTAAACGATCCCAAAACTCGGTGAGGTTGAGTATCCTCAGGACGGTAAACAATCCTAAAACTCGGTGAGGTTGAGTATCCTCGGGACGGTAAACAATCCTAAAACTCGGTGAGGTTGAGTATCCTCAGGATGGTAAACAATCCTAAAACTCGATTGAGGTTGAGTATCCTCGGGACAGTAAATGATCCTAAAACTCGGTGGGGTTGAGCATCCCCGGGACGGTAAACACTCCCGAAACTCGGTAGGATATTATGAAGGTAGAATGTAGCTCGTGAGCTAGGCATTCAGGATGAAAGGGGAAAGGTTGGGTAAGTACCTTATCTCTAAAAGACTTTTTGTGAGGAAACGACCTATGGGTCAAGTATTTTACAAGTATATACAGTATGTATTATCTTGGGAATGAGGTAACAATGGTTACACCTATATATATATGTATCATCCTATTTTTGGGTCTCGTGTCTGAAACATTAGTTATTCCTCATATAGCCTGCTTGTCACTAGTACTTCTATGGAGTACTGACCCCTTCGGGGGCCCTCACATTTTTCAGGTTGAGGCTAGAGTCCTACTACCTGCACCTTCGCCTAGGGTGATTGATCAAGGAGGAAGACGTGGTTCGTGCTTCCATTCTTATTCAAAATTGATGAACTGCTCATGGATATATTTTAACAATGTTTTCTATTAAAACATTTGGGGGCCTGCGTGCCCGTATTTGCCACGTGTGGCTAAGAATCAAACATATCTTATTTTCCTCATTTGTTTGACTAATATATATTGATGTTGATTGTATGGGTTTACTAATCGGCTTGGCAATAGAACTTAACGGACGCCTTGTATGATTTGATAAGGATGAACTACGTTGTTCTTATTGGGTTGTACGGCGGTTGTCTACGTGGCACGGACGCGGTCCGGGGCGTGACAACCTCAATATCAGCTTATCAGCACAATTCTTCTGAAAATAAATCTCAAATTTATTCTTGATGGCATACATTCTGATGTATTTTCTGCATGCATCCATAGTCAGCCATTGTTTTCCTATTGCCAACTCTAATTTGTCTTCCCATTTCACAGAATCTGAGCAAGTAAATGTTTGCTCATTGCAGTCATAGTCTTTGTGTGGCATACCATTCAACACCTCACCTATATCCTCCCCATTTCTTGTGCCTTGAACTTCATCTGTATCACTCCCTTCTTCTGTATCAGAACTACAATGATCTAATTCCTCATCTGATTCATTAGGATCATCTGATTCATTCAGATCATATCCATCTAGCCCATCAACAATTTGCTCAAATTGAATACCTATATAGCACATTACAGTAACATCTATATCAACAATATAAACAAGGGTAAAGAAATCATTTACTAAAATTCATATATAACACAACATAATGAATTTATATTGAACCATGTACACTGCATATACCTTCATAAAACTGTGATGTATTATCATCATTTGCAACATTCACAAAGTTGTTGAGTGGAGGTAATTCAATGAATATATCACCAAAATCATCACTAGCTATTCCTTCATCTCTGCTACTTTCATGGAATGGTACCCTAACTGGAGGTGACAAATTCATATACTAATCTTAATAACCAAAAACCACAAACTAAGTATCTCAAAGTAAGTATAACAAAATCTTTATAAAACAGTCTTCATAATCAAATTTCAAGACCGAAGCATCAACCAACTTACTTGGAGCAGGTAAAGAGTCCAACTTTCTCTTCACAGGCAGCTTTGATGTCCTCTCAATCCTTTGCTCAGTCGTTCGAGTAGGTACTTCTGAATCCACCCATAGGTTCTTGCATGCTTCAGAGTTATATCTATTGCTTTCATTCATCCCAACCCTATTTCGTTCACTCGCACCTTGCGAACAATGGAGAGAAACAAATGACCGTCTGAGAAACAAGAATGCCAACGAGTATGGTTGTTACTGAGATCAGGGCACTAGCGTCATTTCAAGCCAAAGTTAACTTCCTAACTGCTGGCTAACGGTTGGAGGGTGTAAAGGCTAAGAATTTTAAAATTAGGGTGCATAGACCAATTAGGGGTATAAAATAGGGTGCAAACCCTAAATATCCCTTTATTTTAATACGAAGTACCAACTACCAAGTGCATCCAAAAAAAAAAAACAAAGAAAGCAGTGTTTGAAAAAAGTCTCGCGGATAAGACTCGGGAGCCGAAACGGGGAGGAACTAAACGGTCCTGTAGTCATGTTGAAATGAGCTCAAAAAGGGGGACGAATGTTGAATGTTCTTCATCTTTGCAGTAGCCGTTGTCACAAAAGAACAAAAAACCCTCCCCCCTTTGGTCTGGAAAAGCAAGAGA